TTTAATATGAAAAATTCAACAATGAAATACAAGCTTTCATTTGTAAACATGAAAATATGCAGACATAATTTATTCCAAACCCATTTCTTATAAGAAATTTATTGAACCTCTCCAAAGAAGAAATCTCATACTGTATTTATTAAATAAATACTTTATAAAACAACAGAATGACATTCAACCACTTAAAAAACATAGAATAACTAGACTATCTTTACTGGTTGCTTGAATTAATTAGCTTTAGTCTGTCATATAACTAATAAAACAAGTTCTCTGTTACGTTTTACTACATTTGCTGTTTACACATCTCTATGTGTTAAAAAAAAATTGCAACCCTCCTCCTAAATTAGAATTCAGCTCTTAAGATTGAATCACTGTCAATAACTCTGCTCCTAGGGACATATTTCTGTTTGAGATAGTATTTGAGATTTACTGAAAGAATGTGATATTTATATAATATTTTTACCAATTCTATGCCAAAATTTATACATAAAATCTTATAGCACTTAGTATGACACTAAGTCAAAATGATATATTTAAATATCAAGTTTAAAGATATTCAAGAAACTATAAGGTTACTCAATAGAATGCATTCCCTTCCTTATGGATAATATGAATGAAAACTCACTGAACTAAGTTGCTATACTGGACTTCGTCATGTCAACTCATAAGGTATTATTGCTAGCTTTTCTCTCCTGTCTGTACCCACAACCCATACATACACATATGCATAGTTTTAGTAGGTAAACAGAAGGGCTTTTGCAAAAGAAAGCCAGTATTTTTTACTCATTCACAGGTAGTTAGTGCATAAGAAGACTGGAAGAATAGTAAAAAAGGATGAACTTCCAACTGATAAATACTATTAATTACTTCTAAACTATATTATTTTTATGAATATAATCTCAAGATTTTATTCATAATAAACAAGAGATGAATCTTAGACCTAGATCACTGGCCTTTTCCCAGTTCACAATCTCTTAATAGCCAGCATTCTCTTAGACCCACAGATGGGCTCAACACACTCATGCCTCATCTCAATCTTGGTAGTTTTAGCCTTCAGAAAATTGGCCACTCTGCTTCCAGTCCTAATACTACTGTACCTTGGCAGAGAATTTTTGCCTTTTTTGTACTGTATTACTTAGTGGGACTGTTGCTTGTCATAGTTCTTATATAAGTCCCGCAAGTTTTAGGGACATTCACCATATTTGCAAGAGCAGCTATTGGCACAGAAAGCTAAACTGTATCATAACTTGTCTGGGATTAAGTTAATTCAATAAGTAATCCAATAAGGACAATAAGGCACATTTCCGATATCTGTAAGGATAAGGTGAGTGAGTTCCCTAAAAACTTTCTTTTTATGTTAGAAAGCCATAAAAATGGTGTTCTATTGTTTCTCCTCTCGAACATGACTTTGTGTAGTATAATTAAACTATTTCCCAAAACATAACTATTATTAAAAACTAAAAGTAATAGAAAGTAAATGTTTGGAACTGTTATATCCAACTCCTAAATAGGGTCACAAAATATACTTTATTGGGGAAGGTTAAACTAATCCTAGATGCTTGCTTTAAGATACTTTTCAGCCATGGAAGATCTTACTTGATTTTTACTATTTGGGCTTTATCTTATATCCCTCAAAATGTTTTTTTCCTACCTTGTTACTGAGTGTAGCTACAGTAACAGCCAAAAATACTTAATATGGAATAGGTAACTTTTCACGGATACTGTACATGTGATGATTTTTTAACCATCAGCATTTTTTACTAAAATTGTTATAATCACTTACCTGGTACAATAATGTCTCCAAAACCCAATAATGAAACAGGCAGGAGGCACACATGCATTATTGAGAAATAAATCAGCTTTGGTATCTTGATGACTACTGGTAACTGTTGGGAAAAAAAAGAAAGAAGGAAGGAAGGAAGAAAGAAAGGAAGGGAGGAAAGGAGGGAAGGGAGGGAGAAAGGGAAAACAAGAAGGAAGAAAGACAGGAAGGAAAACCACCAATAAACCTCTTCCCAATCTTTCTTTCAGAAAGGAAAGACATTAGAATGAAGAACATTTTCAAACTGACATTGAAAAAAAAAATGAAATCAGAGGACATAAACCAAGCACATATATGTGTATGTGTATATATTTATATATATATATAAAATATGTATGAGTAGATATATGCATATATGTATGTGTGTATGCATACATATATGTGTAACAAACTCTACATGTAAAGAAAAATTGAAAAATATAAACTTATAGTTTTGGGAAAATGAAATCCAATACTTGTAGGATTAAGCATATTAGTCCACTATACCCACATCTAACTTTTTTTTTGTTCGTTTTTACCAAGAATAGGACTCAGAATTTGAAATAATTTTTTTTGGGGGCAAATCTGGATTTTTTTCCCCCAAAGAAAAGTCTTGTCTCAGAGGGTATGATTTAAAGTCCAATGAACATATCTGAAATACAGTCCTTACTTTCTCATGGGGAGCTGAGGGTTGAGCAGTGGCTTCCTCAAAGTTTCCAACATTCTAGGATGAAACCCAAGTCAATAAGTATTTAATAATCTAGAATAACTAAGAAAAGGGCTACATTTTGTGAGAAATAAGTTTATAATACCTTAACATGCACTACATGACCAATGAATTACACAGGAAGGCAAAAGTTAACTGAATACACATATATTCACTGGACAGGAATTTCTATTTAGTTGCCTATTCTACCTTTTCAGTATTTCCAAAAGGTCCAGCTGCAAGTTCAACCATGATACTCTCACCATTCTAAAGAGAAGGAAGATTAAATAAGTTATTTAATCTTATTTATTTATTTAATCTTATTTATTTATTTATTTAAAGAAGTTATTTAATAAAAAAGAACAATTTGTCACTATTTACGAATGACTTACACATTATGGTATATGGCTTAAAGTAAAGTAATTGAAAATGAGCTATAGACTGCTTTTTTCAAAACAGTCTCTGTGTGCAAACAGCAAAAATTGAACTAATCACAAACAAAAATCACACTATTACACTTTATTAAACTCAATAATTACCAGAAACTGGAGAAACAAAAACAACAAAAAAGGCAGGCACAGATTATTCAAAACTACCATGAGCTCTGGATTGCACTGACATATTAATATCTAACATTTGTAATGGGTTATAAATTTCAAGTATTTTAATCTTTCATTATATAAAAGATCAGTATTTATATTATATACTATGTATTTACATTATATACATAGTATTTATATTATATACTATGTTCTTACTCATTTTCAGCAATATCAGTAAAGAGGGCCATACTAAGATCTCTTAATTTTAGCTTTGTAACAAACATAGACCACTTTATTTGAATAAATAGATATTTGACCTTCTGACTATTCACAACAACAAAACAATGAAGCCAAATGTGAAAAGACCCAACCCCACAGAACCTGAGGAGTTTCTCCAGCCTGATACTGTCCAATTTCAGTTCTGCATGCTATGTTCCAATCAAAACATTTACCTTAGATGAATTTCCCTCCCTGTATCTGGCTAAAGTCTTTTTATGTGTTCTCTGTGAGGAGTTCATTTAAAAGTTTTCTTCTGATAGTCAGGTCTATTGTGAAGAGGGGAAACATTTTGTAGTAGGTTAAATGCATAAAATTCTTACTTTCTGTTTCACAGTATGATAAATATATCAGCTAAACTGGTAGATGAAAGATAAATGTTGAATTTTAGGAAAATGTGATTGATTAACTATAATATTTTCCAAGTGGGTGGGGTAGGTGCAAATGAGAAATCACTGGAGTATTTTCAAAGACCTCACTAATAACCTGAACCAAGTAGAAAGATAAAATCCCTAGCTAGGTTTACTTTGGTTCACTATTTAGTTGCTATTTAAGACATTTAGTTGAAGATCATCATGGACATCCTCCATACATTCAAAGATATGAGGAAATACTATATGAGAGATACTATAGGGTATATGCTGGTGGATGAAAAAACAATAAGTAAGACAGGCTCTTGGGGAGAAAGGGGAGAGAAGGAGGCATGGGGACAGGAGAGGTAGTGGAATGAGATGAACATCATTACCCTAGATACATGTATGACTGCACATATGGTGTGATGCTACATCATGTACAACCAGAGAAATGAAAAGTTGTG